TGAGTGTAGATTGTTGGATTTTGCGAATATGTCCTGTGACTCTGATGTATCCGTGCTAAGCGTTCGTCTATCATGTGACATCGTCAGAGCAATAAACCATACTTTACGAAATAGAGCAATACACTGAGCCAAATCTTTTCTATTGGTTTGGTATATTGTTGTGCTATTACATAAAGTATGGTTTCTTGCTCTGCCTATGTCACATGATAGACAAAAGTTTAGCATAGATTCATCAGAGCCGCAGAATATATTCGCAAAATCCAATGTGTCTAAACCAAAGCAAATATAATTCGGTTTCCAAAGAGACCAATTCACGAATTCCTTCCAACCAAACTTACCTTTGAAAAGGAAGATTGATACATAAAAACCCCAATATCATTTTTAAACGACCTAGTCTTATTAAAATATGAATAAAAACTGGTTTTATTGAGCTATTAGTCCCTCAAGATAGGCGAGTTCTATGAACCCATCTTTGTGGAAAATATGATGAATTAAAGGTTTTACGATGAGGACATGTAGGCCTCTGAAAATGTGACGTAAACTATGTATGGATTTTTACCACTAATGAAGTTGCTCAATTTTAAACCATCATCAACATCAGCATAAAAGCTTCCTTCTAAAGAAGATAGAGGAGGTTAATATAGGAAGTAATATCGGCGTTATACAGTCGGTCTCTGAGACTGCCAATGGTCATATTCATGCCATTTTTCAGACTATTGCATGGCACCGATAGAAGATGGGTCCCTGGATTGCCTGATCTTTTCTTCTACAGCATCACAGCCTCACATGTTCTGTGGCAGGTGACCATCATATGCATACATTGAGGGGCACAAGTGACTCAATCAAGAGGGTTGGAGACTAACGACATGTCGACTGGAGATCGAGGAACCGGGTGTCTTCGAGACACAAGTAATCTGGACTCGCAGAATCAGTCTATTTAAGGGGGTGTAATCAAGCAAGCAAATAAAAAAGCCAAGCCAGTTTGGGTTGAATTGGATCGAGATGAGCATAAGTTAGGAATATATTCGTGTTAAGTTGGATTTAGTGACTATCAGTAAATCTATGTAGCTGAAGATGATGAAGGACGCATGAAGAATTGTTTTACAATACGATGAGTATTAGTGGCTGCATCATTGGATTTCACAAAGTCTATTCTCATTCCTATTATACTTGACCGCAGATTCGACCTCTTCTCATTAACAACGTCAACGAAACAGCTTAACTATCATCTTGAACGACCTGGATTGACTAAAATCTTACTCAATAATTATCGACTGCTTTAAAACCTACTTAGTTCTAAAAAAGTATAAATATGGGAGTAAAATTTTGCTTATAGCCATGCTCACGCGACAAGCCTAAGCCTTGATACCTTTGTTGTATCAGGCTATCAGCTCCCTTAAGCAAGAGATGAGCACGATATTCTCTTTAACTTAAATTGCCTTCTAATGAATCGAAAACTTGCTGAGGCTCAAATGGGACAGCAATAAAAAATCTGTAGCAATTTTTCGTTTATAAGTAGGTCTTCGAGACTATCAGTAGATCATATATATGAGGTATATTCAACTTATTTCTTTTAAAGTGATGAGGGGATTGGTAGTTGAAGTTTCCCACAATCATGAGTAGACTTCCAGTTTCTATCGAATTTCGCATAGCTTTGTATTTCCATAAGATATCCTCATTCAAGCTGGGGTAGAGTAAGTTTCAACCTTGCGTAGGTCTCATCAGCCTCTCCAATCGGAGTTGAGCCATGATAGTTTTAAAAAAAAGTTATGTTGTCAATTATTATAGCAAAAATACGTTTTCACCATCGACAATCCCACCAAAGAATGGGATATGGGAAAAGGGCTGGCCTTCCTTGAAATTCACATCTGCCCTGTGATGCAAGGGCACTCATGGCAATGAAGCTGAGTGGTTAATGTGTCAAGTTTGCATGCTGCACTGTTAGGGTTCGACTCCGGCTGAGGGTGTTGATAAGAACTATGCCAGGTCGAAACTGCAGTCCACCCTGGATAAGAACACCTTTTGGGAAACGAAGGCTATGAAATTGAATGGAAACGTCAGCTCTACTCATATCATTGTGGGAAACTTCAACTAGCAGTAATTCATCACCTTAAACGAAATAGGGTGATCACAATTCACTTATGTTTCGTTTGTTTCATCTACAATCCCACAACAGAATGTTATATGGGAAAATGCTTAGCCTTCCGTGAAATTCATACATACCCTGTGATCCAAGGGCACTCGTGGCAGCCTGGCGTAATGATTAACGCGTCGAGATTATACGTTGTTCGGTCATGGTTCGAGTCCGGCTGGGGGTGCTGATGAGACATAGGCGAGATCGAAACTTCGGCCAATCTGGATGAGAATAGCTTTTGGGAAGGCAAGGCTTTGCGAACTTTAGGGATAACATAAGGCCTACCCATATCGTTGTGGGAAAATTCAACTCCCCTTCTAGTCAACTTGGACGAAATAGGGTAAGCACATCTCATATATCTGACTTACTGGTAGTCTCGAAACCCTACCTACAAATATTAATACAATGACCTTTAAACTATAATTTTAGCTTTAAGTAGGTTTCAAGGTTATCAGTAAAACTTGTCACCTAGTCATAGCTATTAGTCCTTAAATTACCTTGAACGATTAAGGGTTGCTAAGCTTTTATTCAACAAGTAATGATAGTCTCTAAGTCTACTCTAAATGAAAACATGCAATGGCAAATGCCTGCTTGTTCCATACACAATCCCAGTATGAATCCAATTTGGGAATGTCTCGAAAACTATTTATTTCGATAATATGTATTTGCCATTTTTGGTCAACAACGAAATTTGTACGCGAATTAAGTTGTATTTACGGAGTATTTAGTAGCTCTTGAATAAGAGCTTGAACTGTTCAAATACTTTTGAAGGAGAGTTGTCGGCACTGAGATGGCTAAGATTCTGAGTCTTCGCTAGCAGAATTGGTACCACATACCGTATGTAAAGTTGCGCATCCACTCTTAGAATATGACAAGGAGCGACCAACGCCACTCAGGCCTGACCATGCTCCCGACGCTTCCGCAAGCTAGCGTCATCTCTGCCATCTCTGCTGTTGTTGGGGCCTGGCAACGGACGGCAATTCTCCAGTAAACCAACTCGGACCGAGGCCATACTTAAGATGAGCCGAAGGCAGCATGCAACGTCGGTTAAAATGCATCAAAGTACTCACATAACACTATCGATCCTACCTCATCGTGAAATCGATAAGGGTTGGTTCTCACGCATTTCTCAAACTGGTACCAACACTTTTTCTCTTTAACTTTGTCTTTTTAACACGCACGCACGCACGCAAATGCATATATATATATATATATATATATATGTGTGTGTGTGTACATACGCACTCCCATACATACACACACTACTGTATGAGTGCACATAGGAGCAGGCTCGATAGCAAACAAACACATACACCTCCGATTAGTCTTGTTAACACATCATTCCTAAATATGAGCTTGCGAACGCACTGGATATGCAGTCACTTCGTCCTCTCGTGCAAGAAGGCGGAAGACTCGGCTCACTTTCCCAGAGGCCAAAAGTTTCCCATGCAGCCTAGTTGGGGCTGCCCTACTTTGGGCAGTGTGGTCACCCGCATGCGTCTGCAGAACAGGGTCACAAAATCGATGTCGGTCTCAGGCCGAGGCAATGCTATGGCAATTGAATCGAGTAGTCGTCACCACAGCGACCTCAGGAGTGTATGCGACATGGGGCGACCGCGATGCTCTTGTCTTGTTTCCGTTTCGACTTCATTTCCAACTGGCCTGGATAGCAGGTTTTGGGTGAAATTGTATGAGGCAGAGATAAGCCTCGTCTGATCCCGCAAAATTCATATGAAGAGGCGGTCAGATGAGAAATGCCTATGTGATTATCTTCATTACACACCCGCTCGTCTGGATAAACACGCGAGAATGAACACGTGTTACCAAAGTGATCCCTCGAAAAAACGGCTTTTACTTTCATCTACTCGTAATTATCAGTTTAAAGTAGGTAGGAGTCTAAGTGACAACACAATGAGGTAAAGCAACTTTGCCACTTGCTTGACTTAGAGTCACGCCCAGCTAGAAATTTGGTTGCTATAACATAATGCATTTATTTTTCGCATTCAATTATGGTTTCGAGACTACCAGGAAATCAGATATATCAGTTGTATTCACCCTATTTTGTTTAAAGTGATAAAGGACTGGTAGTTCAATTTTCCCACAATGGTATGAGTAGATCTGACGTTTCCATTGAATTTCACATTGCCTTACTTTCCCAAAAGTTGTTCTCATCTCGGTTGAAGTGTACTGCAGTTTCGACCTCGCATTGGTCTTATCAACATCCCCAGCGGGAGTCGAACCGTGACGGTGCAGAATGAGAGCTTGAGACGTTAACCACTCGACCACATAGCCACGAGTGCCCTTGGGTCACAAGGCAGATGTGAATTTCAAGGAAGGTCATAACTTTTTTGCCATATCATATTCTTTGGTGGGATTGTCAATGAAACAAACGTCTGTTTGCTATAACAATCGACTGCGTTACTTATTTTTCGTGTTTGAGTAGAGTTTTGATGCTACCAGTAAATCAGTAATATGAGATGTATTCACTGTATTTCGTTTAAGGTGATGAAGGACTGATAGTAGAATTTTCCCACAATGATATGAGTAGAGCTGACGTTTAAATTTCACATTGCAATGTGTTCAGCTGTCCAAAAGGATGCTCTAATATAGGCTGAAGTGGACTTCACATAGGCCTTACCAGCACCCCAAGCGGAAGTCAAATCATAACAGTGTAGCGTGTAAACTCGACACGTTAACCACTATACTACATTGCCACAAGTGCCCTTGGGTAATAGGGCAGATGTGAATTTCGAAGAAAGTCAGGTATATTCCATATCGAATTCTGTGTTGGAATTGTTAATTAAGCAAACTTATATTTGCTACAGCAATCGATCACATTACATTTTTACAAGCGAGTAGTCTTTCATCGATTGGTACAGCAAATATAAGTTTGCTTCATCGACAATCCCAATACAGAATGTGATATTGAAAATGTCTGACATTCCTTAAAATTCACATATGCCCTGTCACCCCAAGGCACCCGTGGCAATGTGGTGGAGTGGTTTACGTGTCGAACTTACACGCTGCATTGTTAGTGTTCCACTCCCATTCGATGTGTTGATAAGACCTACGCGAGGTAGAAACTGCAGTCCACTAAAGGATGAGAACAACTTTTGGTAAAACAGGGCCATGTGAAATTTAATGGAAGCGTTAGCTCTACTCATATCATTGTTGGAAGAATCCACTACCAGTCTTTCATCATCTTAAACTAAATAGGGTGAATACAACTCATATATAATCAGTTCCAGTTCAAACGAAGCCTATTCGGCGGCATAATTTAGATTATGGCAGAGCATGGAGCTGTGGGTGTCATGTTGATGTGAGTTTCATACGAAGAAAACGTCAGCACAATAGACAAATTGTCTGGTTATGTAAAATTCCGGTTTTCGAAGAATCCCTTTCTTTTTTCGTATTGGAGTAGAGTTTCGAGACTACCAGTAAATCAGTAATATAAGAGGTAGCCTCGAAACTCTACTCAAATAGAAAAACTAAGTAACGTAGTCGATTGCTATAGCAAATATAAGTTTGCTTCATCGGCACTCCCACCAAAGAATATGAT